CGGCCCACCGAGTGCCGGCTCTCACAGGTCCCAACGATCACAAATCCAGGCCACGGGTCCACTGAGGGCTCAGAGGACGCGCGGAGGAGGGCAACTTCAGGTTGTGGGGGGTCCTGAGCTGACAGGAAGGAGAGTGGAGGTGAGCCTTTTAATAGAGTGAGTCATGAGGGGAAATAAAGGCAAATTTGGGGAAAAGTCTGTGACCCAGATTGTGTGTGTGTGTGTGTGGGGGGGGGCAGGATCCCATTTTGGCTAACACACACTTTGTCTCGTCCTAATTCTCGTGGACACTCATTAAGGGAGGCCCACGATCAGCTTCATTTCATAGACAAGCCGTCTAAGGCCAGAGGGGCTACAACACTGCCCAGGGCACACAGTCACGCAACTTCTGGTGGAGCCAGGATCTGAATCCAGGGTTCCAACTAGACCCTATTACACCTATGAATGCACAGATTGCTCTGAGGGACAGAAGGCAAAGCTGGAAAGAGGCTGGGCAGTATTGGACACGAGGAAGACGAGGGGCAGGACACGAGGGGAGGAAAGCTAAGAAGAAAGTGTGCTGCCACAAAACCCAGGGCAAGCCTGCTGGACTTCTGCGTGCCCTGTCAGCACTTTCTTCAGACCAATGGCCAATAGGTATCTTCTCCACTTTGGCTAGATTATCAATCAAGCTGGTGCACAATTTCTAAGCACTGTGATACTTGTAAAAGGAGCACTGACGTGTGGCAGTCCTCAGAGCTTGTCAAAGTTCTTATCTAAGGGGAAAATCTGGGTCAGGAAGCAGAACCAACACATGAAGCTCCTTGCTTTTTGCAAGCCTGGTTCTGGTTTGTGGGAGCTGTTGGGGGTGGGGGCAACACTTCCCTCGATCTTTGCACGCACACAAGCACAAGCGTTCGTACAGTGTCGTTGTTAAATGCCACTGAGTGGGTTCCGCCTCAGAGACGCCATGCACGAACACAGCCCGGTCCTGCCCATCCTCATGTGAGCCCCGCTGCAGCCACCGTGTCAAGTCAAGCCACCGCGTTGAAGGTCCTCCTCTTTTTCAGTGGCATTCTCCTTTACAGAGCATGATGTCCTTCTCCACCGTGATTACAAGTCTTTCCTAATTACAAGTCCAAGGTATGTGAGATGACGTCTGGTAATCGCTTCTAAGGAGTACTCTAGCCGTATTTCTTCTAAGACAGAGGGTTGGTTTTCCTGGAAACCCATGAACAGTCAATATGCTTCACCAATATACCACGATGCGGAGGCACCAGCTCTTCTTCCATTGGCCAGCTTTGCATGTTTTTGCCTGGGATGACTAATGACACCATGGGCTG